TTACACTTTTTACTCATTCGTTGCATACCCAGAAAGCTCTCCTAACAAACTAATTTGTGCAAAGAAAAGCCCTGGGCACAAAGATGTTCACTGACATTATTTTTAGACCATTTTTCTTATGCAGAAAGCTTGGGACAACATTGGAAAGCACAAATTGGCAATTAAAGATCAATCATAATTTTACTGCACAAAATAACATTTTGGTATAAGTTTTTCTAATTTTCCTATGTACGTCTGCCTTTTTTTTTTTTTTTTTTTTTTTTTTTTTTGGCAACTGGCCAGTACAGGGATCCAAACCCTTGACCTTGGTGTTATAACACCATGCTCTAACCAACTGAGCTAACTGGCGAGCCCATATCTACTTAAAAAAAATAGTCATAGCATGCTTTTTTCCCTGTTTGCCACATATTTTGAACATTTTCTCCCATTGTTGTACTCATCTGAGAAAACTCTAACCTTAGTTGAACTAACGTTTCTTTCTTGTACCTGTATAGGTGAACATTGTTGTAAAAAAACAAAGTTGAGCTGTCTGGTTTCACTTCAAATTCATAGTTGTGAACTCCAAATTATCCCTTAGTACTGTCCAGAAATGTTAAAACATTTTTCTATAGTTAATTCATTTTTCCGAGCTCTGGGAAAGTGTGGGATATCTTCTTTTCCAAACCTTCCATATACAACATTTCTACGACTCTTAGCCACTGACTTCATCGCCAACAAGGAAACCATCATATTTCCAAGTCCTTCTGCAAGTCCATCCTCAAGTCTCTTCCCTCCTTCCCACTAGAGGCGATGTGGTGCCCCGCCTCCTATCCCAGGTTAGGCTCTCTTCTTCTGTCTCAGATCCAGCCCCTTCCTCCTCCTCCAGGTCCCAGTATTTCAATTTCCCATCCTCTCCTGCATCATCAGTCTCCTCCTCTTTTGATTTATTGCCAATATCATAAAAAATGCTCTAATTTCTCACATGTTAAGCAAGCAAACCCTACCTTGCTTTCTCATCTCTGTCTACCCTGTTAGTTTTCATGCTTTTTCTTTTTTTTTTTCCTTTTTGTCTTTTTTCGTGACCAGCAACGGATCGCAACCCTCAGTGTCGTGCCCGTACCAGAACGGGACCAGCCACGGGATCGCAACCCTCGGTGTTGCTCCCGCCCCTCACTCAGCCGGTGAGCGGCCGGTCTGTATGTGGGATCTGAACCCTCGGCGGGAGCGCCACCGCACTTCCCAAGCGGCGCACTATAGCAGTGCGCCACCGGGCCAGCCCTAGCCCTTGTTGATCTAAAAGAAACGGAGGCCGAACATAAAAAGCATAGGATTTATTGCGCCAATATGACAGTTACATAAATTTGGTTTTCTGAAATTAGAAGCGAAATCACACTGCAAACGGCATTCAAGCAGGTTTGAAAAGTGTGGTGTATATCTCTGCCA